ACTCGTGCCATGCTCCGCCCGCTCCTCCTCGCGCTCGTGCTGCGCCTCGCGCTGTCCACGCCGTACCACGCCCCGGAGCCGCTGCTAACCCCGCTGCGCGCCGGCCTGCCGCGCCGCCCGCGCGCCGCCCGCGCCGCCCGCGCCGCCCGCACGGCCGGCCTCACGTACGAGTCCTGCTCCGACTCCGCCGCGTGCGCCGGCGGCCGCGCCTGCCTGTCGCCTAGCTCCGGCTTTGCGGCGTGCGCGCCGCCCAAGGACGACTGCATCTGCCTGCTGCGCTCGCCGCCCGTCTGCTTCCTGTCGGCGTCGTGCGCCGCGCCCGAGGTCTGCGCCGACGTGCCCATCCTCAACGTCTCCATCTGCGTCTCGCCGGCCGCCGCAAGCGCGCGCCCGAACGTCGTCTGCGTCGCCGCCGCGCCCGGCGGACGCCGCTCGCTCGACCCGTGCGCGTCCGACGCGCAGTGCGACGCCCCGCGACGCTGCGCCAGACTCCACCCATCCAACGCCCCGCTGCCGTGCGCCGGCGCGAACAACTGCGCGTGCCTCGCGCCTAAAATCCCCTTCTGCACAGACTCGACCAAATGCCCCGACGCAGAGGTCTGCTCGCAGACAGGCTTCGAGAGGAGGACCTTCTGCGTCTCGGAAAAGGCCGCAAGAGCTTACATCTCTATCACTAAGGTCCCCTCCCCGCGCGACTGCCCCGTCAAGATCCCGTTCGACAGGCCGCAAGCCGCCCGCGCTGCCACACCCAGAGCCCGCCTCCTTGCCGACCCACGCCCGCCACGCCCCGTCGCACCCGACCTCTACCCGCTCCACCCGCTCGCTAGGATTGTCGGCGGCCGCTTGGTAAACCGCAATCTGCTCACGTCCCTCGTCACTATCACCACCAGGTCAAACACCTCCACCTTTTGCTCTGGCACACTGCTCAGCCCCAATTGGGTCCTCACGGCCGCACATTGCGACATCACCTCCAAGTCTACAATCAAGCTTGGCGCGTCGAGCGCGACGTCGGGGGGGGTTGAGCGCAAGGTCAAAGCAGTCCATAACCACCCCAAGTACAGTGAGACGTCAGAGGGGTTGCAGTATGACATTGCTGCCGTTGAGATTGAAGGGGGCGCTTTGGAAACGAGCACCTTCTTGCAGGTTAATGATCGGCCCGAGCTGCCCAGGCCCGGCGAATTCGTTAGGGATGTCGGGTATGGAGACAACTCGTTCAAAGATATGTTTCTGGATCCCAATCCGAAAACGTTGAGGCAGGTCGATGTTCCGGCGGTGGGGCCCGGCGATTGTAGCAAGGCTTACAACAAAATCATGGCACCCGTCTCGAGCACCAGGCAGCTATGCGCCGGTTATCTCAGAGGCAACTGCGGTTCCTGGTATGTGTGCGCATGGCATATGTGTGTTCTTCACGTACCTTTTTCAAATCTCGACTAACAACCAGTCCTCCTCCACTTCATTTGCGCGTCTTTGCAACAATGCTCTCTTTTTGGGGGCGGTTTTCACTTGCGTACTCACTGCTTCGTTTTTGCTCGCCACAGTCAAGGAGATAGCGGCGGTCCGCTTCTTCGATACACCCGTTCTGCCGGAGGAAAAGCTACACCCGTCATCATGGGTGTCGTTTCGTTTGGCGTCAAGTGTGCGAGGCCCGGGTTTCCGACCGTCTACACAAGAGTGTCTGCCTTCCGCAGATGGCTGAAGAACACTGGTGCCGTATTTTTCACATCCGCCGGTGTAGAGGGAAACACCAACTGCCAGGCGGGCCAATTCCTTTTCACATTCAGGGAGGGGATCAAATTTTGTAAGAACTGCCCTCCAAATCAATTCAGTGCAGGGGGTTCGGTGACCAAGTGTGAAAACTGCCCGGCGGGGTTTCTTAGAAATAGAGCGGACGGTCGGACATGCAATTGCTCGACGGCCGGAAAAGGGCAAATCGGAGGTATGTGCAAGCGCTGTCCGCCCGGCCAATTTTCACCGGCCGGTGATAGCACATGCAAGCAGTGCCCGCCGGGGACTTTTGCTTCTAGTCCTGGATCAAAAGAGTGTAAGCAGTGTCCCAAGACTTTCTTCGCTCCCACTGCTGGTTCGGCGGACTGCAAGATATGTACATCAGGAAAGACAGTGACAGCAAAAGGGACAAAGTGTGTATAATAAGACGATTAGCAGCAAACGGAACATATCACCTCATGCAAGTACTGTACCCGCAATCGTTCTTTCGAAGCCCTCTACAAACTCACCTTTCCTGATTTCTTCTTGAAATATACGACTTTTTTCGAGGTTTGCGGGAAACCATATCCTACAGTACTCTGTACAGTGCCCTCGGGATAACTGCAATCCCCTACAGTACACAGAAGGGTACAGTGCTAACAATGATCTTAGGGCCATGCAGCTATTGGTCTGTAAAAGATGAAAAAGTGCATGTATCATAAAAACGACCAAAACAGGTTGTCGAAAGGGACCTTTTAGACCGTTCTTAGGGCCATTCCATTCATCGTGATTGGCAATCATGCAATCACGCGATCACGACATTAATTTAACGTCTTTCTGCAAGTTAGAGCACAAGATTAATTTTAAGTCGATTGTTTATTTCTTTAATGAGCATGACCATTTTTTAGGAAACGTAGTATAAACAACCAACCACAAGGGAGCAGCCACCATTTATTGACGTGATTGTGTGATTGCGTGATTGCCAATCACGATGAATGGAATGGCCCTCAGATGAGAACTTATAAAGAAAAAGAAGGACTGAGGCGTTACACAGCAATTTGGTATTTATGGGTGGCAAAAAAGATAAGGGCATTTGAACGTTAGTAGTTCTCAACATCGCCTACTACTTTGTTGGGCCACCTTTGGCGAGGCAACAATCTAAACACCTCCTCTGCATTGAGTCTACCAGGTTTTGCAGCTCCTCAGGACTTATTTCATCCCATGCTGCCAGTACAAACTCGCGTGGCTCCATCACGTTCTGAAACTGCCTTTGGTGGTCGTAAAACCTTCGTGCCAGTATCCCCCACACGTTTCCAATGGGATTCAGGTCTGGACTCTTTGCAGGACAGTCCATGACATGAATGTCTTCCTCTTCGGACCACTGTTTCTTCATCAAAGTACGATGGGCCGGGGCTCCGTCCTGCATAAATGTCCAGCTGTCACCAATTTCCTCGTCAACAAAGGGAAGCAAAGCACTTTCTAGAGTATTTATGTACATCTCTTTGTTCATACTACCCTCCACAATAACTAGGTCACTTTTTTTATTCCCTGCAAAAGCTCCCCCGACCATCAATGGCCCCCCGCCCTGCTGTCTTTTTGAGAAGACCTCCTCAAACTGCCTCAAATCATGCCAATAGTAGGTAAAGCCGTCTGTTCCGTCGAGATTAACTTTCTTTTCGTCAGATCAGACGACTTGCTTCCAATCTGCGGGGATCCACGTCACTTTGACCTTTGCCCATTCCAAACGATTCCGTTTGTGCCTTTCTTCCATCAACGGGCTCGCATCATACGTTTAAAACGTAAGTGAGGGGTGCTTTGAAGCACATGCCTCACTTTCCTGGGCTTTATAGCAAGCTGCAGGTCTTTGATAAGTTTCGATGAGCTGGTTTTCCCCTTTTATGCCTCTCTAACGAGCGCCTGATGGGCTGCATCAGTTAGTTTTGTGGTATAACTACCTTCGTCCCGACCACTCGGAAACGAGGGGGGTTAGAGGTAAGGAAGCGCGCGCCGCTGAGTAACCCACGCGCCAACGCGGACCATACGGATGTACTGGAAAAGAGGGAAGGCTCACGTGACCGGTGACGCGCAGCCGGTCGGTTGTGTTAGATCTGGACGGCAGGTCACGGGTTAGAAGCCTGAGACTAAAAGGGAAACCGGAACGGGATAGCAATTAGCCGTTAAGGGAAGGGAGGCGATTCTGCCTCCCGTTTACGGGAACCGGGCAGGTGCCCCCGGTCTTAACCCCTAAGTGGGACGCCAGGACACCTGTCCGCTACAGTAGCTGTTACTTGCCGTATACCAGCTACTGTTGTAAATTGGCTAATTTGTGCCATTAACTACTAATTACTAGTTAGCCACCGTACGGATTATACACGTGTGCCCGTGGCCACGATCCCGGCTAAGGGTTGTGCCACGTGTTACCCGTGGCCACGCCCGCTGTTACCGGCTGTCCCACGTCGGACCCTTAGGGTACTACTGTACACGGCGGCGGGCGCGTGTACGCCCGCTCGCTACAGTAGCACCCGCCCTCCCGCGCGGTTATCATCTCGCCGGGGGGTTGTGGTACAGAATTGTACTACAAGTTTCTTGGGTCTGCCGGGGCTTTTCTTCTTTTTGTATGCGCCAGGGTTCTACAGGAAGCTTCTAATAGCGTTACGAGAGAGTTTGAGACGCACAGCTATCTCACGAATGCTCCAATTGCTTTCGCGAAAGCCAACAATTACGCATCGTTCTCCTTCGGTAAGTTGTGGTTTTCGACTCATTTGTGCCAAGGCCTGACCTGCAGAGGCAGCATCGGTGTGCTCCCTATGTGGTAAGGAGTAGCACAACAGCAACCCTAAGATTATTGCCAGCACTGTACAATTGCGGGCGGTCACATTCTAAAGGGGGGGTGCCCCATAAATGGGACTCTCTTCCTACCTGCGGAACGTTGAGAAACCGCCAAAAAGTATTCAAATATTAAGAAATGCAGCCCAAGTGGCCACCAAACGCCCCTCAAGTCTGGTATTACAGTCTCAATTCCCGGCGACGGAAATGCATACCGAAACACCACCATCCCCAGTCCCTGCCACATCCAAAAAAGGTGCCATTTCCTAAAGACTTAATAAAAAGCAGGACGTTTTCCTTGCAATACCCTTGTCGAGGGCTAAATTTGGGACACAATTTTTGAGAACGCCCATAAATCGACAACAGTTCCCTTAAAGAGCCCTCGAATATATGGTGAGCAAGTGTCCTTGAATCCCCAATAGAACTAAACTGGAACACCGCCCATTGATGGCTTGTCAATCAACACGTTTAGCAGTCTTCATTCTGCTCCCAGAGCGTTGAAATTTTCGAAAAGGGCTTTATTTGGGACAGTAGCCACTCTGAGTTACTTAACAATTATTATTACTTAAATACATCAGAGTCTCCGCAGCGTCCTGTAAACCGGATTGTGTCAACTGTCCAGTGCTCCGAGCGCTCATCTCTGCCTTTTGGTTGCCTGTATATGAAGGGGAACGGCACCTCTTGCCGAACTTTGCACGTGTCATCGCCTCCCTTTCCTCTCGCCTTCCGCGACACAATTCATCTCTCTCCATTTTCGCTTGCTCCCTTGCCGCATTTTTTCGTGCTTGCGCCTCTGCCTTTTGACCGCTTCTCCTCCTCTATTCGAACCCGTTCAGCATTTGTTTCTTTGTCCAGCTGGTTGCGCCGATCGATCGATCGATCCTGATCAGGTCTCCAACCGTAAGACACCACGACGGTGCTCCACACTGCAATACTCTCCTCGTCCCTCCGCCACATTGGGCGGTTGGCCTTCGACTGATTCCAAGCAATATCGAATTAACAGAATCGTTGTCAGGCAATGCAATGCGGAGGCCTTTGATGGATTCTGTTTTGTCTGAAGTCTCAGTGAATATTGCCCTCAGCTTGCCCCATGTGTCACTATCACTGAGTCTTTTTTGAACTCTTAAGCGCCGACGCTGGTCCTGCGTTGTCAATGCGATTAATTAATGCTGCGCAGGTCCGTTCACGTTCAAATGCAGCAGTCTTGAGTTGGAGGAAGTGGCGCTACTATACTAGGCGGGTGCCAGGGGCTCCGCCGAGTACAGTAGTAAGATGATAACCGATACGGTGCATACGAGGCCAGCTCGTGTAGATGTGACCACGTGGGAGTTCACGTGTAGTTATTGGCACCAGGTAGTGCAGGTGTACACGTGGTGCGCGACCGATCGGTGGGTTAGTACAGTAGTCATTTTTAGTTACCGTAAGCTACAGTAAGCTGGCTACAGTATGTACAGCTACTCTAGTCCGTCCGGTGCCACCGCCCTACTAGGGGTATAAGATAGGGGGGCACCGGGCTGGAGGTAAACCGAGGCAAGCACGCCTCCCCTTACTACTTACCCTAGTCCTCTCTCCGTACGGTTAAGTAATACCTTCAGGTTTCCAGCTCGCCACCGGTCGTACTGCTCTTCACCCCAGTACGACTGCTCGTGTCCTGCGTAGTGTACCTCCCTCGTCCAGTGCTTCCTACCGTTCCGGATTATTCTACCTGACGCTCCAGTGTAGCGGTCCCCCAGGCTCCCTCATTTTTAGGTACAGCCTGTCCTTTTCCGTTTACGGTTTAGCGTCCCTACGGTTGTACTGCAGTAGCCGCTGAACGGTCTCGGAAACTGCGGCACGGGTTGCAGGTGCGAGTTCCCGCACGAAGTAGTGCCTGAGGGACTGTTCGGAGAACACTGCCGTGCACCGGAACGCGGCAGTTTCTAACCGGTCCGCAAAGGTGCTCTCCGTTTTGTTGGGTTTCTGTCGCGACGTAGCGAAAGCGTCGTACGCTTCACCTAACACGTTGTCGTGCACTGAGGGGGAAGGGTGGGATCCCCCTCTGGCAGAGCGCGCGCGTTCGGGGGGCGCGTGTAGGGGGTTATCGGGAGACCACCCGTAAGGGACCGGTACGGGGCCGGGCGCAAAGCGCAGTAGGGAAAGTAAGGGAAAAAGTGGGAAAACAGAGCCCCGGAGGGGCGGAGCGGTAGGGACAGCTGTCGCGCGGAGAGCCGGGCGTGGCGGGACGACGCGCGCGGTAGAGACAGGAGGGAATCGGGACGTAGATGGCTCGCAGGGTACCGTCGTGGGACGGGGACCGACGCGAGGCTACGACTCCGTTCCAGAAACCCGAGTTGTGGACCCAAAGCTTCGTAAGGATTAATTAGGGTCGGACGTCGGCTATATACTAGCCGACGTCGGGGCTATAATTAATTAAACTAAAAGATACTAAATTAAAACGACGGCGGCGACGACCGGAGAAACTCCTCGTGGGGAGGTATGACAACTATTACACGTGGGGGATGACACCTGGACACAGGAGCCTTGACGCCCGGGTACACGTGGCGCGCGGTACACGTGGGTCCTGGAGAAGGAGTCGTGCTGGCCGGGGACAGGTGTCCCCCCTGAGAAAGGGAAAGGTG